ACTTTGTACAAATTTTTTACAAAAGAACGTTTACGCACACACATTGTTGTGTGAGAGGCAGTGTTATTAGCTTTTTTGAGAGATCAAACCTTAGGACAAGACTGTCTTGCATTTCAAGTCTGGCTCTTCCCCCTCCCAGCTGTGAGACGCTGGGCAAGTTCCTTAACCTCTCTGTGCCTGTTCCCTTCCCGAGATAATGCCACATACCTCATGGGGTTATTAGGAGGATTATATGGATTAATACATGTAAAGCACTTAAAACAGGGTCTGGCACATAGCCAGAATAGTCTCTTGTGTTAATTGACTGCTTACTGCAGGTTTCTGAGCATTATGAAGCTTTGGTGCTGTCATATGTCATCTGGAGCAAGTTTGTCAATTTCACATATATATTTTAAGGAGTGCAGTATCGTTGTAGGTCAGGTTTTAAAAAGCTACACTATGAGATTCATTGCAGTCTGGTCATAGGGAAGGGTGACGATTTGGTTTTTTTTTTTAAAGATTTCATTTATTTATGCACACAAGAGCTGGGGTACAGGCCAGAGATGTTGGGGGGTGAGAGGATTCACCAGAGACAGAGCAGGGAACAGAACACGCAGATTGACTGAAATACACTGCTGAGGGGAGTAGCGGGTGAGACAAGAGAGGTCTGCTGTGCCATGTGGCTTGCTCCCTGGCCAGTTGGTGATCAAACTCATGTTGCAGAGGCTGTGGATTGCTTCATAGTGCAGTGCTTAACCACTTGCGCCACCAGGGAGGCCCCAAGTGTGAGGGTTCTGAGGGAAGGTTGCCTGTGGTTCCTGAACAGAAATACCTTTAGCACTAGAAGTGAGAAGAGAATTCTAGCCTTTGCCATCCACAGCAATAGGCATGCAAGTGGAAAGATAGACAGAGGTTATCTGGGAGTCTTTTATTATTATTTTAAGCCCAACTAACCACATGGAAATTGGTGTTTTCTTTGCAGATTTGATGAAGCAGCACCAAACACCAAAGGGAAAGTAAAAAATCCCAGGGTTCAGGATGCCTTTTGACAAGTAAGCCCACATTTTCATCTGATGTGTCACCAGAGAGATGCCTCCTACTTCTGTTCAATTATGTACATCAGACAAATCACAAGACGTAACCTGTCACAAATGCTAGAATTAAACCTGCCAATACAAACGTCACTGGTAATTGCTTTTACAGAATTATAGCTTCAGTTCCACATTCTCCCACAGATGCTGCAGCTCTGCACTTCCAAAGCACAGCCTCAGCATCGGCCTGTCAGAGCTCCAGGGAATTAAAACCTGACAAAGACTTGCAGGACCCTAGGGAGCAGTGGGTGTCAACTCAGTCCTGCATTGCAAAGTCACTGCATCCTAGGGCCTGTGGGTCATTTCACATATTGAAATTTGCTTTGTTATCTATTCTTTCAGAGGCCAGCTTTCCCATCTGAAATAAACAGGTTTCAGTCTGAATATTCAACCACAATGCTTGAAGTTTTAGTATAAAGTCACCTTTAACAATCTGATGTCTGGAAACTGCTTCTTCCAAGTTCTTTGGAGAACAACAATTTCAGGAAAGATGGCTAAGACAACACAATAGCATATCATTCGCAGTGCCCTCAATCCCACTTAAAAATGTTCTTTTGACATCCATCCGTTCCATTTTTAATTGGTTAAAGCAGTTTACTGTCTGGTTCTCATGCAATATTAACCAAACCAAGCACGAGACCTAGGATGTTTACATACACAATGCCATGAGTGGCCACAATTCCAGTGACCCAAGCTAGTCAAGTCCCCTTGCCACAAGAGGAGATAAAAATAATCCCATGTCATTTTCCAAAGGCTACACACTCTGGCCTCACAAGATCACAGACCTACATATTAATTAATACTACTAATCAGTAGGTTAAACAAATGCCCCAACCCTTCTCAAAAGATGCCAATGATCTTTCAACATGTACAGAATGCCATTGTATTAGCTGAAGAATGCCAGTGCTCTAGTATGATTAGAACAAATGCTTTCTTAAGAAATTCAGTAGATACACTAGTCTACTGAGCTTTAACTCAACACCATTGTTTGTGGTTTTTTTTTTTTTTTTTAAGTTAAAGACACATCAGTTGCTCTCTTTTTAGTGCTGAAGGAACAGATTATCAGGCTTTCTTGGTTCTTCAATGAAAAAGAAAATTCCAAACATATATTCAGGCAAAGTAAAAGACAAACAGGTCAAGGTTGACTTGTACATGCTTCAAATCTGAGCAGTTCCCTGAAATGAACTTCCATGAGGCCAGCAAATGCCTTGTCTTCATGCTGGCCTTGAGGCCTCAAAAGAGAGCACCTTTCAGATGACTCAAGTAAGAAAAAACAGACAAGCCAAAGTTTAATTCAATTTTATTTCCACTTTTAGTATTTTTCAAATTATACAACATGCAGTCTGCCAGAGTACCCATAATCTTCATCTTAGAACCTAGAAGATAACCAAAATTTTCCACAGGCCAACAAATCTTTTGTTACATGTACTATATTACAGCATCATGACTTGATATAAACTGCCATTCTCCCCCTCAAACCACCAAAACAAAATTGTCCACAAATTTCTTTAATGAAAGCTACTGTACAGATACATAAATTCCAGAGGACACACATCTGCAGTACATACTACATACTTTACAAACTAGACATGTATAAGTCTACAGAATGCCCTATTCCCCTTACATCTGCACACAATGAAAAGTATTTAAAACTGACACACAATTTGTCAATGCGTGAGCAGACGTCACGAAGTGATGCTTCCTTCGGCAATAACCTGGCCCTTATTCAATACTTTTTAAAAGCCTAAATTTCTCGTGTGAAATGAAGCCATTTTAGACTATGATGGTTCCTCGTAAGCTTGCTCGAGACAATGCAGGTGAGACAATGACATGAATCCCCCCTAGTTCGTTACTCCCTGACCCCACCAGTGAAAACTTGCCAACATGTCATATAGCCAGAGTCCAAATGTCTTCTGCCTTGCTAAAAAAATGCACTTCCACAAGGGGACCATTAAGAGCTTTTATATCCTTTTAGTTATTCCTCTAGGAAAGGAGAGCTGATAATTCCCTGTGCGTCCTCGGAATGGCTTGGTCTGGACTTGCACAGGAATATCACTTCCTTATGTGAACGTAGGGCTTCAAAGTCACTAGATACTACATTCTAGACAAACATTTTATTTCTTCATTTATCCCAATACTTCTTTGAGTTCTATATTTCTCATTAATCACATACTATTTTCTTTAAAAGTCTTAATCCACACTCCCTGTTCTCCCTACTACCTGCCATTCAACAAAAGCAAACTGTAGAGCGTCTGAAGAGATAAAATGTGTTTACATAGAATTCTCCAGGAATTAACCAAAACACATTTGACATTAATATATTTTACTTCCCAGCCATAAATCTTGATATCTCAAACAGTATTCCTCTAACAATCCACCATCCTGCGGGTAGAGATTATTGTATAAACCACCTGGCTATTCCCTTAGAGCATCAAAGAGTAAACTTTCAAGAACTAACATGAAATTAAAAAAATTCATAAAAGAGAAACATACACATACACACACACTAGCAAAAAGCAGCATACAACCAAAAATATAACCACAGACTTGACAGTTCAGAAGAATGGTTTGTATTAATAAATTTAGGGTACATAAGGGAGCAAGTTTTTAAAAATGAAAACTGCATACAAAAAAAAAAAAAAAACTGCATACACGTGGCTTTAAAAAAAATGTGGTCTAGAGAGCATATGGTCCTGATATATTAGCTTATAGGGATCTATTTGAATATACTGTACAGTCCACTCCAATAAGCTGCCTACCTTTTAGTCACAGTATAGGAAAATTAGTTTAGAGGTCCTATAAAGAATAAAGCTAGGTGAACTGACTGGCTGATCAGCAACTAGCAGAATCATCTTTAAGAGACATCAAAGCTAACTTTCTCTGTGAATAAAAAGAATTTTGTGAGTCCCTTGTAGAGATCAAAAAATATGAAACTACAAGTGCATGTTGCTTTTTAGAACATGAAAGGGTCAAGCAATCCTTTAGAAGTAGAAAAGAGGTACCCAGGGAAAATTTCTTTGGAAAGGATCTAAAATAAGAGAAAAAGAAAAAGTTACTAACCTTTGTTCAATTTCAAAACAAAGTAACATAGTTGCATAAAGGACAGCTGTGGTACAACAATTATTAATTGGCAATCCTCTCAAGGACCAATGTTCCAGTTTCTAAAATCAAGAGGCAAATATGTTAACAGCAAGGTTATAATCTATGGCATATGTTATTATCTGATAAGGTTTGCAAAATCTGCCCTATGAGGATCCTTCTAGTAGAATGCAAATAACAACTGAGGTGTTATATATTGGGCAGGTACTGGCCACAATGCGAGAATATCAAAAAGAAGAATTTTTAAAATGTAAACATATGTAAAATTGTCATATTTATGAAATAAATACTTTGATAGAATTCATGATCTCTCTCTTACTCCCCGCTCCCCAAAATAAAACACACACATTTAAAAAAAAAAACAAAAAACTGCAACATTTAACAAATAAATTAAGTCAAAGCAGCTTTGCTTTGTTGGGGAAATTTTATACAAGAGTTTGGAAGTCAATTCCCAGTCCTTAGCACTTTGTCCCTTTCTCCTCTCTCACACATACGTTCTTGAACTATCTTTGACCCACACAGCTGCGAGGACGAAGCCCAGTCTCCTCTGGCATGCATTTCATTCCAGTGGTGACAGCAGCAGGGACAGTGCCAGCTCACTCATCTTGGGCAGACATGGAAAGATTCATCGAGATTGGTTTGGTTGTCATTGACTTACCTCAAATTTGTCACAACAAGTAGCAGCACACAAAACCAACTTAATTGAATCCTTGTCAGTTTCCCTGAAAACTTTACTACTTGAAAATCAATCATTTTAATATGCACAACTGGAAGTAAGAGTTGATTTAGCTTTAGATTCATGGTTTTGAAAAAAGCAATAGCTAAATGTAAAAATCCATCCACTCTGATTTTTTTCTAATTCTGCCTAAGAAAATGAAACCTATCTATTTGATGCCACAGAACTCAGTCTGGAATGATGGGTTTAAATAACTTATTTATGGCAACTTATTCATAGGCACAAAAATTTTTCAATTATTTCCCCCAGGGTTTCCATTGTCAACTGATGGAAAGACCCTGGATTTTGCCAGCAATACCCCCTCAAAGCTTAAGATGGATCCCCAGAGAAAGAGGCCAACCTCGATACAAGCTCCAGAAGAGTTGGGGTGGAGAAATTCAGGAGGGGGGCAACCCCACTTCCGCTTATCCAACTCAGTGGCATTTTCAACACTTCTGAAAGAATGATGTTCAGACTGGGCTGGCTGAGATTAGTTGCTGCAGGTTCAATAGCAAGCAGCTCAGGTGAATTTTATAACTTTTAGCATTTGCGTAGATGCGTTTGAATGAACAAATTCTACATTGCTACCGTCAAGATTGTTTTTCTGCCTTGAAGAAATTTGCTTTGCATATTAACGGGTATATTTAGTATATATACTAAAAGGTATATTTTACAGATCCAAAGATGTGACCGGGGGATATTCAAAATGCTTCCTTGGGGAAATTTGTTTCGGAAAAGTGTTCAGAATGAAAAATTTGAACCCTATAGCAGCACGTTTTTGTTCCCTAAAAATATAAAGTAACGATGTGTTTATTTTACAAGAAACCAGAGAGCTGTGGCGGAGCGTGTGGTCTCCAATCTCCACCACACTTGGTTGCTCCCTCCAGGGAATGGCACAATGGGGCACTGAAGGGGCAGTGGCGGGACGGCTCAGAGACCACACAATGCCTTGAGGCCAAATCAGTGGCGATGGCTCCCAGGAGTGAGTGGATCTTCTTACTCATCCCCTTCAGTTTCTCAGGAAGAGAAAAGTCCAAGCACACATCTGTACACACAGAGAGTCTACACAGCTCACTATCTGAAACCGGTGTACTGCAGATGGCTGGGGTAAGCAAGTGTAAAAGAAAATGGAAATTGTGTAGGAGGGGAAAAATAGAGGAATTGGTGATTAATGTAGTCCTTGACATGCTACGTAGAGTCATATCTGTTGAAAGAGAACCAAAGAGAGAATGCAGGAGTTAGAGAACATGGTAGAAATTCCCTCTGATTTTTTTCAAATTCCAGATACTGAAATTAGTCATCCCATAGAAATGTCATGCAAACCATAGGTTTAATTTTTAAATTTGCAAGTGGCCACATTCAAAATGAAACAGGTAAAATTAACGTTGATGATATATTTTGTTTTCCCCAATACAGTTAATATATTATCATTTCAGCAGGTAACTAGAATTACATGTTGATATAATTTACATTACAATATTACTATTGTAATATTGCGACTTCACTGTCTTTTCCCCACAGCTGTTCCAACTGGGTGTATATTTTACATTTTCAGCATATTCCAATTTGAACCTGGTCACATTTCAAGTGCTTCATAGTCACATGTGGTGTGACTCCTGATTTACTGCCTTTTCTTTAATGTTGTCCCTGGCAACATTCTTTTCCAAAAGTTAGTAGCAAATTATAGCTATTCAGGGCAATAAAATGCACTTTCTCATTCATAAGGGAAACTCGAAAACCATTTTTCGCCTGCCAGCACTTAAGAAATTGAGTCAGCTACAACCTCTAGACCAGGCTCTCTCAAAGAGAGCTCCAGTCCCAAAAGGTATGTCTCCCCTCTTGGGGTGATGTGGTCACTCAGTGGAGTTCCCCTGTGGTTTGCACTCCACTGCCCACCAGATGTTCATCTCATCTCCAGGATGGAAGTCTAGCCTGGGCCTGACTGGGAGGCCAGTCTTGAATGGCCTTTGTCAGCCTTTGGATCAACTCCAATAAACTCAGTTTTCCAGGAGAAACTGAAAACTCCTCACACAACCGGAAGTCCTATATGTGTCTGTGATGCTGTCCACGGGCCTTGCATAGAACTGGTACACATGGCGGGGTGGCCGCTGAGACTTGGGTAGCACCTGGCCCTTAAGAACTGAGCTTGCCTGGCACAGGAAGTATTTCAGACACTAACTGCTCTTCTGATTTCACAAAGAATTACATAGCCTGTTTTTGCCTATAGAAAGCTTATGTCCAAATTCAGTGCTCAAGTATATCTCAGATTCCTGTTATAATGCTTCCTCCCTTCTTAATGATTTCCTCTCCGCTCTCCTGATTTATGTTGTAATCTTGGTAAGCAACGTCACATATTTTTATAAAAAGGAAAAATGTGAATTATGAATTTTTAAAAATGAGGGTGTGGGAAAGGATTATAAAATTAGGTAAGAGGAAAGTGGGTAAAAAAGAAAAAAGAGAAGGAGTGTAGAACAGTAATTGGATAAGAAAAAGAGAGGACACATTTTTTTTAAGACTAGTCCTCTCCTCCCTGCCACAAAAATATAGTCCGGAAACTCACTGTCACTAGCATTTCTTGCTCCAATGGTGAAATCAATCACAGTTACAAAAGTGCTTAATTTAAAGCAGTTTAAACACCCCTACCTGGTGATATTTATGCCATTTTTAGAAGTTACAAAAAGATTTGGGAAGAATATCTTTAATGTTTAGCCTTTCTGGTGAGATTTTTATGCTTTCTGTTAGAAGCAAAAATGAAAAATCTGAAAGCATGATCTTAGTTATCCTATCATTTGGGGCTAAAAACCAATAGGCCCAGAAATGCCTTCTGAATACCCCCACTGAAACCCCACATCACTTTTCTTACATCATTTTCCTTGTAAGAACTTAGGATCACCCTGGTCACATGAGATGGGCTTCCTTAGTGCCTGGAGGCAGGGAGGCAGAGCACATACCTTAAATTGTAGGATTATGGCTTAACATGATGAGTGCAGTCAACCCACGTTGACAGACCCACGCATTAGACACACAAACTCAACAGGGCGGCCTGGTAACTCCAGCAGACCATGAAGTGACACGATTTCCACAAGGTGGGCTCTCATTCAAATCCCCCACTCCCCCGACATGCAAGATTCAGCATGTTTTGGCTAACAGTTTAGAAGAAAGAGGAGGCCCAGCCTGCTTAGTTTAGTCACCTAAGGAGGGTGAGAGAGGAGAACTGGGATGTGACAGGCTGCCGAAAGGAAAATCGTAGCAACTCCACTGGTAAAAGCTCCTTTATCGGTAAAAGGTTGTTCTTCACCCCAAGTTAAAGATATTTATGCCAAGAAAAACAGATTCAATTAGGATACTCCTCTCTATCCCCCGACCACCTGACCATCTCCTGGGATCAATTTGGGAGAGAAATGGATAGAAGTTATAAAGGAGAATGGGTTCTCCCCAGAGAAACCATTCTGACCACATAGACTGGCCACCCAGACAGGTTGGGGTGACCTGAAAACACTGAAAGCCCAGCTCTGTTAACCCCCGTGGATCACCAGAGTTGTCACCCAGTCACCTGAAGAAGGGCACATGCCCAAGTGACCTACTGTGGCTGTCTCTCGGCCTCTGCCAAATGGGAAAGGCTAATTCACAGTGGCAACGTGTGACAGATACAGAAAGAAATAAAATCACCTTTTCTTTAGAAGAGATGGGGAAGGCCAAAGAAAGCAGCAAATTACATAAAGGTTTTATGAGAAGTATTGAGAGACTCCCCCCAACCCCCGCCCCACTTTGGCTTTTGCAATTGCTTGCAGTGGATTTACACTTAATCCAAACCATACAGAGTTTTATCTTTTCCTCTGCCTTTCTACAATCCAATCCCCACATTACAAGAATTACCATTTGTACTTGACGAACCACTACTGAATAGAAGTGGATTTATCTGACAGAAGCATTAGTACAATCTGTTGTGGTGGAACAAATTTAGTTGCTCTGAACTTATTATTGAGAAACATGAAGTTGAAAAGAATTCAAGTAGAGTAACCAACTGCATTGTAGGCAAAATAAGGATTTCTTGCAGCTCCCCCATGATTCTTCCCTTGGAATTCACAACACAGGTTTCAAAGTCCAATGCCCCAACAGGGCCCAACTGCAGTTATTTCTGCCCTATCTCCCTCATGTCCTGTTTTGACTCTTCTTTTTGGGTCAAACTACAAACACCATATTTGTGAGGACCTGGTTGTTGTCAGGCATTTTTTTATGACTTTTTATTTTTCTTTCACATTATCTCATTCAATTCCTAGAAGAAACCTGCAATGAAGGTACCATGATCATAACTTCTTTTTGCCAGAAGTTTCCTCAGCTCTTCAGTGGCCAGGAACCTTGTCTGCAGGGACAGGGCTGGCTTTGACTTCAACTCAGATAGCACCCTGCAACAGAGTGCAGGAGTAGACATGGGGGTCTAGCTCAGTCTATTAAGCCAAATATACAAAAGATTTGCAAAAATGTAAAAGCGATGCCATTCCGCTAAGTATTTGTCTTGAAAAATCATTATTTTCCATTAAAAATGGCACTTATATTAGCAATAGCAATACTTCACATTTTTGCTTCAATTTCTAACATAGTACATATTGATAGATATAAAAGTTCTTTGATGTCATCAAGACTGCTTAAGACTATAAAGGATCCTAAGGCCAGAAACTTTCAAAATCATTGCATAGCAGCAGATCAGAGGTTTTAGCCCGGCATCAACCTACCACAACTGTGATCTCCATGACTCACTCGCCCTTCTAGGTTGCAGAATGTAGGATGAAAATAAAGTAGATGGTGAAGACGACGTGGGTGAACACCAAATCCTTGCTCTGTGCCGGGCACTGGTCTAAACTCTGTTCATGTTTAATCCTCCCACTTAGCCTATAAGAAGGCTATATTTTACATGGCTATATTTTACAGAGGACACTGGGGTGGAGACATGAGGTGACTCACCCCAGGACATGGCTAAGCTGGACACAATGCCAGGTGGTCCTGCTTCGATGCCAAGCCTGCAATCACCCAGCTACCCTGCCTGTATCAGAGTGTACCCTCAACTCCCGCACATTCTTCTGACTCAACCATTTCACTGCTAGGATTTGCAAATAGCTGAAGGCTCATTGGCTTAGATGTATGAGACCTGCTATCAATGAGGCTTTCTGGCTTCACTCTATCAGAGGGCTAAGTCAGGTGCTTGCATGGTTTCCATGCATTGAATGAACACCATTTTACTGTGACCAGAAGTCAATTTGGCAACTCCGATGTATATGATGTTTACTTGCGATGGGTTGTCAAGGCCAGGAAAGTTCAGGCAAACCCCAACAGTGGCACAGCACAGGATGGACCCAGGTATTCAGGGCAGGGAAAACAGTAACAAGACGACAGTGGGTCAGAAAAGCAAGAGCGCATAGGTGAGTGAGTATGTCAGCTTGGGAGGTTCAGCCTGAATGTAAGGATGCATGCAGGACCAAACAGGATGGGTCTTGGCGTTCTAGTAGTCAGAAGCTTAGAGAGAAAACTCCACTCTGAGTGGGGTGAAGAAAGGAGTGAAGGGCGAGGGAAGGGTGGGATTCCAGAGAAGTTAGATGTCCCCAGTTCAAAAAGAGCCAGTGACCTAAATGGACCAAAAGTTTAGGAATGTAGGGCCTCCCCGGTGGCGCAGCGGTTGAGTGCTGGGTTGCGAAGCTGCCCGCAGCCTCTGCAGCGCTGGTTCGATCCCCGGCTGCTCCCCGGCCACCAGAGGAGGGTCCCACATGGCGCGCAGACCTCTCCTGCAGCCCGCTGCTCCCCTCAGCAGTGTACTTCAGTCCTTCTGCCTGCTCTGCTCCCCGCTCTGGCTCTGGTGAATTCTCTCACCCTCCCGCGCTTCTGACTGTACCCAGTGCATGTATAAACGAAACAAACGAACAAACAAACAAATAAATAAATAAAACATGCCTCTATAAAAGAACAAAAAAAAAAAAAAAAAGTAGAAAAAAAAAAAAAAGTTTAGGAATGTAGCTGAGGGTGGTGGCTGCAGGGGAGTGGCCAGGGGCATTCCAAGTCTTAGAATCAGAGGTCTGGACTTCCCATGTTTAAGGGTGTGTCTGGGTGTTTCTTACTGTGACAAAGCATCTTGGAGGACAGAGTCACGTGTGTATTGCAAATGTCCTGGCCACGTGGGACAGGCCGATGACCCTGAGAACTGCAGACAGACAG